AGTTTCCACAGAACAAAGAACTCAAAATGATTTTGAAATCCTCAGGCAAATGTATACCCAACTGTTAGCTGATTAAGCAAACAGTACAGAGCTGGGGGAGGGTTGTGCAAGAAACAGACGAGGGACAAGAAAGCAAAGGTCCCAGCATGTTCTGCAAAATGCTATTTGAAAGGGTCTGGGGAAACCAGAACAAGAATAATGGTTGCGTGGCAGAGAATAACTATAATGTGAGCCAAAGTTGAGACCTGAAAGAGGGGTCTCAAGAAGTAGAATGGGGCTGCTGATGAGCAAAACTGAACTAGCTACATGCTGGAAAAGAGGGGAAGTCAGTTTGGCAGCGTCATTCCCAGAGTGTTTCTGCATACTTCAGCCATCCTCAGAGGGACAGAACTGCTGATGTGGTCAGAGCTACCACGCAAGCCGGGCTGTGCAGGCTATATGGAGCAGGAATAGCTCCTTCACACACAGCAGAGGGCTTCCACAGGACTGAGCATAACAACATACTGCGCATTCGGACTGCAGATACATCAGGCAAGGTAAATTTTTTTTCAAATTCTGGCTGCGTCCAGTTAAGCTGCAGAAGTTGCAGTTAGGTATGCATTCATTTCACTCAGTCCCCTCACTTTCATTCACTTTCATTCACCTTATTCAACTTCATTCACACTGTCAAACCCCACACTCACAAGCACCAAGGTGCATGTGCCCAACGGGTCTGGCCAGGATCTATGTTGCATGCAGCGTAGGGGAAGATGGGCACCAACTATCACACCCTTATGGCATCTCTTGTGTTATTCTTCACTGGCAGTGGCAAACTGCCTTGGATGGGTCTTTTATGCCCAATAGTGGGTACGAAAGCTAGTGGGACCCAGAAGTTACTCTGGTGGCATCCTTGTGCTTCACAGTCTGGCTACTTCTGCCTCCACACGCTTCTGGCAACTTGTTTGCCCATTTTCTGTGTTTCTTCATTTTGAGCTTCTGAGGCTACGGTCTGCTTCCAGTTGGACCAACAGGAAAAGAAATGGCATTTGTGATGTGCTCTATCTTCCTGCCACGTCCAGCTGTCAGGGTCTTCTGCAGACAAGTTGCCTATGCTACAGAGTGCAGGTCTCCTTTGTTTGAGAGAAACAACTTATTTCTCAATTTTACTGCCTCAAACTGTCTTTGGTTATCAACACAGGCCATTCTTTTAACCTTTGTTCTGCTGTTTCTTCTAGTGCTTACACATACGCATTTCCATTCGTACTTCGCTCATACAAATCAGTACTTCAGTTTCAAGTCTCTGAAAGCTGATTCATCTTACTAAGGAGTCAGGTGACTACCCAAGCCAGGGCAAACAAGGAGATGTTACACCTGGAAGCAGAGGACACCAGAGAGAAAGATGTACAGGCGTTACATTTTTAGCAGCAGCAAGAGGTTACACCAACCCAGCCACTTTTTCAGTGGTTTCTAACATTAAACAAATGGCTTGATATTTAAGGCTGGAATCACTCACTGCCCTGTGAAAATAAGACTCATTTGGGACTCCTCGATACGGTGATCCCTTCTGCCTCACCCAGTTATGTTCTTTCACATAAACCGGTTCTGTTTGAACTTGGTAACGAAGTCAAGTATTTGGGGCATTTGTATTTGCAAAACATTATACCAACAAACAGAATAAATCCAGTAACATTTCTTTGTTTGCTTTCACTCAGGACTGATCCAAACCCCTTCTTAAGTGTTTTTAAGTGTAGAATAGAACACGCTTGCCAAGACTGTATTTGCAGCTTCTTTCTGCTTGCCATGCTTCACTTTGCTTTCCTGCTCCATGCTGTTAACACTGTACCAAAAAAGTATCCAGGAAAGCTCCTCTGCCCACATGGTTCAAGTTTCTGAGTGGATTAATGCACTAATACATGTTTTCACTGGAACTGGCTGAAAAACAGAAGACAAATATAAGCAAATGACTGAAAGTTTTGCCTGATTCATGATTATTATCTGCTGTTTGGAGTTGGTAATACAACAAAGTTGGACTCACTGAATCATTTTCTACCTTATCAGTCAGTCTTGAAACTACATCGAGTATGCATCTGAGTTTTATCATTCTCGACAACCTGTTCACAACCTGAGAATGCATGTATGCATGCCTAGAACATAAACCAGCCCAGAACTATCGATTTACCTTTCTAAAGCTAGAACTGATGTGATAAACTCCTCCTTCTACCTCTCCTTTTCTATTGATTTCCTTAAATCAGTTCATTTGTTCAAGTATAACAGCAAGAGGGCAAATATGGGAAAATATGCCCGATGAAAAGATCCTTTCATATTCCCTTCAAGAAAGAAAGCAAAACAACGGGCTGTACCACCTTGATCCCATTCCTTGAGGTGGTTCTCTTTCTATGACCTGAACAGCCATGGTTCATACGGTGACTGTGTAGTTTCGCATGCCTTTCAGATTAGGCAGTAGCACCAGGCAACACCAGCTGACATTCACTTTACTTTTGAGGTTAACTTCCTGATCCAGAGGGAGTGGTTGATACTTACTATTTCTGAAGCTTGCATTGCCAAACGGTTTGAATACGAAAACGCATCTTGAATGGATTTAGTACTCAGCCCTCTCCCCATCTTTCCGATGTGCTGTTCGCCGTGCTTCTCCCCAGTCCCACAGACCCTCCCAAGCCCTACCTCAGCATTAACAGGAACCAGTCATTTCTCAGCTTCACATGCCCTGCCAGGACACGACTCTGCAACCAGCCTTGATCAGTAGCTGACTGCCAGTCTGAAAGAAAGAAAAGTAATGGTATTGCTACATAAATACTATAATTATTTGGGTATGATAAGTTTTTCTCCTACATTATGGGCTGAGACCAACTGTATGAGGTTCAACAAGGCTCAGTGCCGGGTCCTGCACTTGGGTCACAACAACCCCATGCAACGCTACAGGCTGGGGGAGGAGGGGCTGGAGAGCTGTCTGGCAGAAAACGACCTGGGGGTGTTGATTGACAGCCACCTGAACATGAGCCAGCAGTGTGCCCAGGTGGCCAAGAAGGCCAACGGCATCCTGGCTTGTATCAGGAATAGTGTGGCCAGCAGGACCAGGGAGGTGATTGTCCCCCTGTACTCGGCACTGGTGAGGCCACACCTCGAGTACTGTGTTCAGTTTTGGTCCCCTCACTACAAGAAGGACATCGAGGTGCTGGAGTGTGTCCAGAGGAGGGCAACGAAGCTGGTGAAGGGTCTGGAGAACAAGGCCTATGAGGAGCGGCTGAGGGAGCTGGGGTTGTTTAGCCTGGAGAAGAGGAGGCGGAGGAGTGACCTTATTGCTCTCTGCAACTGCCTGAAAGGAGGCTGTAGTGAGGTGGGGGTCAGTCTCGTCTCCCAGGTAACAAGGGACAGGATGAGATAAAATGGCCTCAAGCTGCGCCAGGGGAGGTTTAGGTTGGATATTAGGAAAAACATCTTCACTGAAAGGGCTGTCAAGCACTGGAACAGGCTGCACAGGGAAGCGGTTGAGTCCCCATCCCTGGAGGGATTTAAAAGACGGGTAGATGTGGTGCTTGAGGACATGGTTTAGTGGTGGACTTAGCCGTGCTAGGTTAACATTTGGACCTGATGATTTTAAAGGTCTTTTCCAACCCAAATGATTCTATGATTATGGGCTTAATGCTCTGAACTACATTTGTGTTAGTGTTACATATAGGTAGAGAGAGCAGAAGTTAGTGGGGAGGCAAGGAAATCCTTCAGTGGACGCGGGTGCTCTGCTCTGTGTATGCACTCTGGGAGGGACTAGCTGGGATCCATCCTCGATATCTAGGGACCGATAACAACACGATATATGAAATTTCATCCAGGTGACAGCTCATTGCCAAATCCAAACACCAGAAACAGCAAAGAATCCGTCATTAAAAAAAAATAAATAAAAAAGAAGAAGACGAGAAGTCCACACCCCTTGCAATCACTTCTCGCATGGTTTGTCTCCCGGCTGCTTTCCAGCCGAGGAAGCCTCCGGGTTCCCCTCGCCGCGCTGGGCGCCGGCGGCCGGGCCTGGCGCCGGCTTCCCGCCTTCCCGCCTTCCCGCCTGCCCTC